GGTTTTTTACTTTTAACTTCTTTAGCCTTGTAAATAGAAATTATTTTTAAAATCAAAGCAAATATTATGGACACTATTATTATTATTATTACTATTACTATCACTATTACTATTACTATTATTATTATTATTATTATTATACTGCTTAAGGTCAAAATAAGAGTCTAAGAATGAAACATGTTTTAAGCAAACGCCCATAGGACCCTCACTAGTGTCTGCTCTAAGCAGGTTCTAACATATTGTGCAATACAGTGTATGATCAAAGACTGCTCATAGCACAACGTTCAGTCTTTTCTCATGCAAAGCTTATGATTAGTTGATTACAATGACTGGAAAAAAATTGGGGTACCCGTGTTCGTTGGTGAGCTAGAGCCATTTTCCAACTGACAGAGATCAATATCAAGGCAAATCCGTCATGTTTTCTATATGCGCGTGCACAAGCGCGCGCTAATGACGCCATAAATTATGCACAGTAAGGATGCGCAATGCAAATGTGAGGAACGACCTTAAAACAAGTTTCACTGTACAGGAATGATGCCTGGTATTGGTTGATAACAAATTAGGTTTGTAAAATATATTTGTATTCTTCTTAGATTTAAACAAAGTTGGACACTCACTTTGGACCAGCTGACATGACAGCACAAGATTCAGCAGTGCAGAACTCCGTTATCGTTCCGTATAACATGTTGATTTGATTGAAGAAATCCACAGCTGAAATGACACAAGTACTCATTACAAATCAAAAGCGATAATCCCTCGACCCTACAATTGTTACAGTTTCTAACTTCTTGGACATCACAAATACGAACACCATATTGAGTTTCTAAAAACTTAATTATTTCAAGAACTAATACACAAATTTCTGAAAGGAAAGTATAGCTTAAACATACTGTTTACAGCCACCCATTCGTTCAGATCCTCTCCTTCTGGTAACATGACGGCCAGCCGTAAATTTCCACTTCCAAGAGTTGCTGCCGCTTGCTTCATTAAATCATATTGATGTGTCCCTTCTGGTATATTCTTTTTTGGCTTGAAAGTCTTCGTGGAACGACCACCACTGAAAAAGATTGCACACTGTCAGTGATTTGATTCATCGTAACTATTGACTGTTACACGGCAAGATAGATCGTGTGCCAGCAACTTGCTGCGTGAAAAGCTACACGCTTTGGTTTCACTAGAACCAATATGAAAGATAAAAACGTTTGAATTATCAATTAACGGTGAAAACTTACAATAGGAAGCTCATTTTGACTATGAAACACTCTCAAAGTTCCAATGTTATTTTTATGCAATGAATCCTTTACCAGTCAAAATGGCGACCTCAATGACTGCCTCGCTTTCGTGTTTCCGGGATGCAAACATCGTGCTTACGTCATGGGTATGAATAGCTGAGAGAATAATTTATGCTTTTTTGGAAACGTTTCATCAAACATTGATCAGGTCTTTAGTAAACAAACTGATAGCCTTTGAAAAGTTGTTACACCCCTTAAGGGACCGCCCATCCCAGGTTAAAATTGTCAGCGGTGGTCGGATTATTGGAAACATGAAGGGAAAGTAAGAAGGAAAAGTGAATCAAGCCGAATGATGTTTCTACGATCTGTTTCTACAAGGCTGAAGCCATGCTACTGTAGGTGCCCCTTGTGAACAATGTGTCATTCTATTACTTACCATCAAATACAGTTTTAATATGATATGATTTCTCTTCGAAATGTTTTAACAATTATTTGTCTCTATCAAAAACTAGAAATCGCATCAACGTCAAGAAATGTCGACTGGATGCAAACCCGGCCGGCACAACCGGAAATCGGCACGCATAATTTATAAGCAACTCATTAAAGCATTGCCCGTGTTTCTTAAGTTCATCGAGATACCAAAATGAGAAATGTAAAGAGTACATTTGATTTCCTCTTGTCTCGAGTCCAAGGCTACTTTTTCGAGCGCTTCTAAAATTGAAAACTTTTGAAGCACAGGAAGTCCGTTCCACCCTCTTCCTTTAGTTGAGTTTTTCCCCACTTTTTATAACGCCCGTTCATTTATGACTTCCCGTTATTTGATAGGTTCATTACACCGCTGAAAACAACTACAGAGAGCGGAAATTGAAAGTTTTTTCGAGGCTTCAGAGAAAAGACACTGAACAGAACGGATTCCTCGGATCAAAATTGTATCTGTTAGGGAATTTCTTCGCAAATTCTTGACGATTCACTTTTCCAGCTGCTCGACTATCTTAATGATCAATCAACGCGCAAAATAAGGGCAAGAAAGTTTATCAGTGAGATAAAAAAAAAATACAAAGGACTGTCTGTATTTAAAACAATTTATTACGAAACCCAAAGGGGTTTCTTGAAAGTAAAAAAGTGTAACAATTAATTTAATTCAACTTGAGAAATATCTGCATCATCTTTTCTAGTAAAAGACGATACTGCTAGTTCGTAACTGACAAAATGAGCAGACAGAATTGCGTTTATACTAATCCAATCACAAAATGTTAAGTTGCAGTTTAAAAGTCACACTCTCGCTCAGACTTAAAACATATTTTGTTCTTTTTACAAAAAAAACACCCTCTGACATAACAAGTCAATATAATTGAAATGACTGCAAGCACGTTTAGCAAAGGCTGTTACTATGCTCCAAGTAAGTCCCCTGGCTAGAAGAGCGTACAATGCGGTAGGGATTTGAAGCTAACGGTTAACCTGTAAATAGCACAATGTACAGGAAAACTATGAGCACAGTTCTTACAAATGTTTGTCTTAAGTCAACTAAAATATCATATAGCAGTCCGTCACTGATAGCCGGGATAAGAGACCATGCCAGGCGTTGCCGAGCCCTGTGGCTCCTGCTTAATTTGCGTTTGTATGCCACCAAAGAATGAGCCGCCGCCGGATGCCCCATAAGCCGAGTTGTCGCCATATCCGGTCTGCTGTTGTTGTTGCTGTTGCTGCTGCTGTTGTTGCTGCTGCTGTTGATTAAAAGGAGTGCTTTGTTGTTGTGCTGACGGATTGTTGTAACCTCCTCCCTGTGCTCCGTAATTGCCTGTGTTTATTCCAGTATTCATTCCAGTACTCATTCCAGCGTTCATCCCAGTATTCATGGCTGTGTTCATTCCTGATGACATCTGTCCTCCATAGCCTGATCCACCGTAGTTAGAGCCTTGTCCATAGTTAGACTGTGAGTTGAAGTTTCCACTGCTGGGACCCGAGTTGAACCCTGAGCCAGCATTGCCAAACGCATTGCCTTGGTTTCCGTAGTTTCCACCACTGCCCCCTCCCATTTGATTACCAAATCCGCTCTGCTGCTGCTGCTGCTGCTGCTGCTGCTGTTGATTGTTGAAGCCAGTGTTCTGGTTTCCTTGGCCTCCAAATCCTCCCATTCCACCACTTTGGTTGCCAAAGTTGTTTCCTCCACTAAAGTTGTTAAAGTTGCCGCCATCATTGAAGTTTCCACCACCAAAGCTTCCTCCTCCAAAGTTGTTGCTGCCAAAGTTGCCACCTTTAAAGGACAAAAAAGCTACTTGATATATTCATACCAAGAAGAGAATAACACTAACTGCTTTAAAGGTGGGGGGGCAGAAAGGGAGAAAAAAAATTTATAGTGTTTATCTCTGACTTCTACACAGGTCTCTTGTTTGTATTAATTCCAGTGTTAGTTCTGAGTATTTCTCAACACATCGTCATGATAAAAAGGGTAACAGACTGGCAGTAATTTTATATGAAGTTCTGAGGACCATCAGGGTACAGAAAAAAAAACTCAACAGTGGTAGTGATGCAATTGACAACTAGCATGATTATCAAAGAAACACTTGATTGTTCAATATCATTAACGTGCCACTTGTGTTCATATATGGTTATTCATGGTTAAAATGTTTCTTGTGCGTGAAAAACACTTCAAATTGCCGTGAATTCTAAATCTTCATTTTAATATCGTCCGCTCTCCTTCAACCTCTTATACACCCAGGTTATCACAAGGACATGTCAAAAGATATAGGTATGTACTTACCACCACTGTTGCCACCACCAAAGTTAGATCCTCCCCCTGAACCGCCCCATCCTTGACTGCCCCCACTGTCAGGCTGAGATCGCAAAAACAGCTCAATGTAACGATGACCTGTGAAGAGCAAAGTTGCATTTTGTTGAAAAAGTTTCAGCAGTTATTTCAACCCTCTTACACAATAGTAAAGTAACTTTTATTATCACTGGAGAAGAAAATCTTGCCCATGTTCTTCATCAGAGTCTCATCTCACTGATTCATATTCTTAGTACATTACATATTATGCCCATGTCTTCTTATTGATAATAAAATAATTTTAAACTTGTCAGAATAGCCAGAAGATGCATCTGCGGACTCTCATTTGGTTAATGCGGTCCTTGCACCCTCAGAGACTATCACATGACTATCAACAATTCAAAGGAAACAAGAAAAGTTGTTCAACAGACACAACAAACAAAAACAATAATAATAATAATAATAATAATAATAATAATAATAATAATAAGTCTTACCCATTGATGAATTATTCTTTAACATGGCTGCTTGAGCATCCTCATGGGTTGCAAAGTCAACATCAACTTGCCCATTAAAAGAACCATTTGAATACTCCATCCAGACATTGACTGGGTTAAGAGGCATAAAAAACTGTTTGACATCACTCTCCTTTGCAGCATATGGTAAGCCTCTCATGTGTACTCTATGACCAGTAGTGGACATCATCCCCATATTACCACCACCTCCTCCACCCCGACCTTGGTTGCGAAATCCACCTCTGCCACCCATTCCTCTGCCACCACGACCCCCACGACCTGATCCACCACGTCCACCACCAAACCCATTGAAGTCACCACCAAAGCCGCCTCCAAAGACAGGCCCCCCAAGGTTACCTCTACCCCTGAATCTGTGGAGATAAGTACCAGACAAGAGATTCTCACAAGGTAAATAAAAGAAAATCTATGACAAAGAGTAAGAAGAATTTGACACTAACAACAACACATGCTATGTGCTGATGTAGTTTGCATATGCACAATGAGAAATCAAAAAAGTTGCAAGCAGAGGCTTCCTCTTGTCTCTAAAAGAGAAGAGATCTCTGTCTTGCAGGTAACCTTTAGAGAACACTGAGATTCAACTTGCATTATGGCTTCACAACTGTGAATGATAAGGACTGATGAAAATTAATGACCAAGCAACAACATGACCAGACACACTTGATCACCTCTGTAGAATTACATGTACATTATTTGTCACTATCAAATCTTTTGGGTCAAAGTTAAGAAGTCTCTTCATCAGCTGAGTTCTAAAGAGAAACATCTCTTACCAATACTCAACCCACAACATATATAAAAACAAATATCACCAATGGGAAGTCAAAAACAGGAGGAGAAAAGAATCAATTTAGATTCCAGTTATGCACACACATAATGCTCTTTCACTCTATTTCAAAATATCTGTCCTCCTTGAAAAGTTAATCTAAATAGAGTAGTATTCTGTTCTTACCGTCTCTCATTTCCTCCTCCACCACCAAAGCGACCTCTTCCTCCACCAAAGCCCCCAGCAGATCTGTCATATGGCCCAGGTCTGGTCGACATCAGAGGCTTCAGTTTTGTAGAAGACACATATTTGATGTCTGTTTTACAGCTCTTGAAAATCTCAATGTACCTAAAAAAATAATGTAAATCTGAGTTAGAATCCCATCAGCTCAAGGAACAAAGCCACATCCAAGTAGTATTAATGCAACAAAACATTCGCACCAACTACAACTAACACTATCAACCCATAGAGATTGCATAAATTTAGCTATACACCTGGCCAGCTTCGGGAAGCCTTTGCTCTGTGGAAGTACTGAATGTTTTTTTTCTTTTTTTTAAATTACATAAAAAAAAATTGACAAACCAAACAAAACCAATGAATGCTGTACTGTAAAACTAAATAAATGTACAGGGGCAAATTTCCAAGACAATGAAAAGGTTCTCTACATAATACTTGCTTCCAGAAGCTGTTTAAAATCTTTCAACATTAATTTGCTTCAAGAATGTCAGTAGAAGAACCAAAAAGTTAACCTGATAAGAACAATGCTTGTGCATAATTCACAATGTGTAAGCAGGAAAATGCATTTCAATTTGCACCCGTAGGCGTGTGTATTTCAGACTATCATTGCTAAGGTTTGACATTATTTATGTTTTCTTAAGGGGAAAAATATATCAACAAAACTGTGAAAAATTAAATAACACTACACTTCACAATACTGTGTCTTCTGGAATCAAGCTAGAACCACACTCAAACTCCAGACAGATATTCTTTTACATTCATAGCAACATTTGAAAAGCAGCACAGAAATCACACCACAACAAAGGTAATACAACATTACTGCATGCTATTAAAGATAAATGCTGATCAATATATGTAAGGTCTGTGTCATGCTTCCTCCCAAATCAAATTACAAAGTTAACCCAGATCAAACAACTTTGTAATCAAAGAAAAAATTCATAGAGAAGAAAATACTTTAGTCTTGGCGTTTGATTTTGATACCTGATTTACATGTAGTTTTTCCAGGTGTCACAAATAGTTATCCCTGTAAATTTGACAGGAACCTTTCTTTTGAGGGTTTAGGATTACCTAAGGTATCAGACCGATATCATAACTACCCCGTCCTTTAAAATTGATAACATTAAACACAAAACACACACTTCAGAGTAATACCCACCTAACATTTCATAGTGCAAGTTTAGACCACACCATCTAATAAAGTGGCATAGTGCAATACAAAATGGATTTGCCAAAATTTCTCTAGTCTCTACATTTAAAATTGAAGACCCAATTAACATACACGTATAAATGAGTTTGTTAGAGAATTATACCAGAAATACATGTATCTCTTCACTTCCTCACCAACTTAAATCAGTTGCAGACTGAATTTGCACTGTGAAATACACAAACATACATGACCAACCAAACCACTGCAATACAGTATTATTACAGAATTGTGCCCGTGGTCCCATTCAGACCCGCACCATTACTTTCCCCACCTGTGCCCTATCTTCTCTTTGTTTTTTTTCAAAGCTTGCTGAGCTATATCAGGAGAAGCAAATTCCACAAAAGCATCCCCCGTGGTCCTCCCGTCCTCGTCAAGAGTGATTGTTATCCCATTAGGAACTATCTCCAGCCCTTTGAATTCCAGTAGAGAGCAAAGCATGTAAACCAACAACTGTTATATACACCCACTCACTAGTAGAGGGATTATGTTACAATTAACTCAGGGAAAACATATTTCAAAGTGAATTAAGTTAAAAGAAACGGCTAAGCTCTGTTACATACATGCACAGTGAAAATTATTTGTAACACCCTGAGATCAGTCCACAAAGAACTCACACCTTAACTAACATTTTGTACAGGTCACCACAGAAGAGAGTGATGGTCTGGGACAAAAGTGCCACGTGGGAAGACAGGAAAGGCATATCAAATAGGCAATATTAGTATTGGAACTAGCTTGCAACTGAGGCTGATGTGGCGAGTCTTTTCAAATGCAAATGACATTTATCTCTTTCTCAATGGTATTCCCCTGCATAGTCACATAGTTCAAGCCATAAAAAGTCTAAGGTTGATGCGAGCTGACATTCCCAGAGTGACTTCACTAAGATCAAAGTCTTCCCAAACAGCACCAAATGTCCATTACCATCATAGACCTTTTTTAAATGAGTCATATGTGGCTTACTTTTTTACGTGGGCTATTAAAAGATCAACATCAGGGCTAATGAATAGTACTTGTTGTAATTCTTTAGCCCTGATGTGAAGCTAATTTGTGTTACCATTCACCATGCATTTTACACTGGGCTACGTGGAAGACACTTCTCATAACCAGAGCCATAGCCAGTATGAGACAAACAGAGGCACTTGCCTCAGCCCTTTTTCTTAGTTCCTTAGTTTCTTTTTTGCAAGGGCAAAGTAAAACACCGCTGAATACCTAGGAAGAAATTTAACTGTGGATATTGCCTCAGTTGTAATTTCTTCTGGCTGCAGCCCCGATATCAGACAATTCCAGATTGTTTTGACCATTGTGCCTGACTTAAAATGATGTTAGGAAGAAGTTCTGATCACTGTCAGACACTGTATTCCACCAATAACATGCATCTCCCACATGGGACACAAATGGTAATAAAAGTTATACACTGTATTCACTGTCTATACAAAATAACATACCTGCACCCATAGCAGAAAAAAATTCAACAGGAAAGATTGAATAAAGACAATTCAAGTCACACAATCCTTCCTGAGTGGACACAATTTTTTAACCTTACATGGAATAGTAATATACCTGATATATCCTTACAAAATTGTACAGAGAACAAACCTGACCAAGAATAAAAATGTTCGCAAACATAATAATTCAATGCTACCTTTTGTATGTTTGTTTTCTCTCTCTTTCCCAAGATAAGAAAGAATGCATTTCTGGTTCTGAATGCATTCACCTCTATTAATTATGATATTGCATACCCTGATTCAAACTTCCCAAACTTTCCCCGCTTTAAAGAAAGATTGTTTCTCTGACTGTGCCAGGCGTGTACATGAAACGCACTGCTTCAACAACCTTAAAAACACTGCATTTCAATATAAACCTAGAATAAGTCGTTGTTGTGGCTTATCTGTCATGATCTTTGTGCAACTCCTTGGCAACAAGGAATTGCATTTAACATAGGTGAAAATTGTACAGTACTTCCCCAAATGGCCATAAAGATCAATTTTATATCGAATATTTCTTTAAGAAAGCAAAGAAAGCAATGAGGTTACCTGTAAAGAACTGAGCAATCTCCTCTTTTGAACAATCAAACGGTAGTCCCCTCAGTCGCACAACAGCTTCATTGCCTCGATCTGGAGGTTGTCCCATTCTCTTACAGATCCACTCCATTTCACCGCTTTTGGACTCAAACACCTCAACATACCTTTTGCCAATGAAGTTGTTGCTTTTTGCAAGAGCTCTGTTGAAAAACACAGACTCATTTGATTTCAGTCCTACATTCTACCCTTCCTTATGAATCACTTCACAGAACTTAATCTTACAAATATAGAAATAGCACTATATAAATAAAGTATTATTATTATTATTATTATTACTATTATTATTATAAGCCACTAATAAACATTATTATTATTAAATTAAAAATATTATTATTATTATTATTATTATTATTATTATTTAAGAAAAACCCTCCTTTTCACGAGTTTTCCCTGAGAGAAGTGGTTTAAGATCAAAATATCATACTAAGAAGAAAAGCAGCACCAAACATCGATGGTCACCGATTTAAAACAGACCATCTAAATCTATAAGATGATGACATGCATTAAATGCTCACAAAGTATAAAGTTACAATAAAAATAACACAGCAAGTAGGAGGATGAGACAGCATTGACAAGAAGTTAGGGTAGCACACTTCAAATCCCGGGGTACCTAGGGTTCTTTCCAGTCCATTCTTTAAGTCGCACATGCTACTGAAACAGTTTTGGGACATCTTCATTTAATTACATGTCACAAGTTTTCTTGCTTTATTCTAGAGAACACTGATGTGTGCTCTATTTTGTCCTGGGTCACTAAGAGGTCAAGGAAACACCCTGCAGTAACAAGGCTGTGGTCTAAGAAAAATTATGTGAAGCCAAAAGGTTCTTAACCATGAAATCCTGGGTACCCAGCACTTGAGCTGATATGAAAAGAGTACGTTTCTCCAGATGTCTAAAGTCAAAAGTTAGCAGCCCGTGGCATCTAGGCACTTCTAGAGCACATTCCTGAGTAAAGTTCCCTTTAACCTAACACAGAAAACCAATTTTCGGTGTAACTATGATGTAAGTCAATGGCACTAGCCCCAAAAATGTCATCTCTCCCTGTGCTTCTGTAATTTTCATTTTCCTAGAAAATTTTCCTGAGACATTTTACTTGTCTGTCACACAGGAGAAGGTCAAGCTGCAGGAGAAAAATCATCACCTTACTTCTAACTATAACCAACATTTGTTGTTGTCCTTCTGTAGTTTTGGGGACATATCCAAAGCTGAAGCTCCTTCAACTATATTGGCTAAATATCTTGCATGTGAATATTCAAGCATAAGTAATCATTCACTCTCAGCAAGACTTGGAAAAATCCCGTGGGGTCTGCTGTGGTTCTTTAGGTTTAGCTGTTTGCCATGTTTTTTTTTTAACTCTCTCCCATGTTAATCAATGCTGAACAGAAAACTCTCTGATCTTTTAAACCAAAATGCTGACTAGAAATACTGAGTTAGAATCTTCCAAATGTAATTCTCATCACAAGAGGACATTAACTTAAAAGCTACCTGTCCTTAGGCTGTTTTTTAGTCCTTCTTTCCTTTTTGCTTTGGAGAACTGAAAGTACTTTAACATTAAGTTTTTGACAATGATGTAGGCTTTTTACTGGGAATTTTTATGTTGGTGGAACAAAGTTACAATAATTATTAGGTATTGTGTGTAATTCCTGGTTACAAAATATTGGTCATCAGACAGATTAAATGGGAATGAAAACTCCATCTTTAGGTGCTCCTTGAACAAAACTTAGGTCGCCCACACTCGTAACTTAGGCGCCTCAGGCAACTGGGCACCTGTTAGGCAGCAGCCTTGAGTAACTGCTTTGTTTTCAAGTCTTTGGATTAATTTGCCAATAGAATTTGGTAGAGGATGAAAAAACAAACCACTTGACAAATCGATGTAATGACAATGACAACAATTTTAGAAAGGTACATTACTTCCATGAAAATCAAGATTCAATTAAAAAGAGAGGTAAAATTCTTCCCACGTTTACTCACTTGTTCATATCTTCTAGGGACACAAGCTCTACAAAACATTCACCACTGGGTCGTCCATCAGAACTGTAGGTGAAGTGAATACCACTCTTTGCACCACCTTTAATGTTGCAACCTTCACAAAATAGCATTATTAATGATATGAACTTGTCAAATGGGTTTATGAGTAAAATATCAAAGTGTAGTCTTGACATATATTTTTTTCAAGTATTTTTGCCCTCAAACCACAAATGTAAAACTACTTTTCGTATTTAAAATACCCAAACCCAGTGATAGCTGCAGCCTACATGTACAGCTCTTCCTTTGAAGTAAATGTGTTTTAACTTGTATGACTAAATGCAATTTACACTAAGTTAAATGTGAGAGAATATTGCTGGCCAGCAGCCTCCCACAGGGTTGGTGTATGGAGTGGCTACAGCGTCTTTTGCAGGGGCTCTTCGTCATTTAAAGCCCGGATTGGATGTAAAGTTATTCCGCGTGTTTTTTGATGCCCGATTATTCCCCTAGAGCTTTTCTCCCAGCCCAACCCTGTTTCTTCTCATGGTAAGTATGTTATAAATAATTTTGTTTCCACTATTTGTTCAGTGTGATGGTGCCTGGTGGCCGCTGCTCACAGGGTTGTCATGAATACTCTATGCGCTTGGCTCAGATTGCTCATGGCTCCACCATCCTTTTAGGTACTATTCCTCAAGCTCATCTGTTGTCAATGAGTTCAACCCAACTTTGTTACCTCCAGTTTCAAGCCTGTGACCTCTGGGCTACTACAGTCAAACCCCCATTAAGCGGCCACCTATTAAATGGTCAGCCCTATTAGGCGGCCAGTAATCAAAGTCCCAATGAAATTTTTTCTATTGTTTTTACCTTTATTAGTGGCCAGCCCCTTTTAAGCGGCTACTATCCATTTCCCCAAGGGTAACCATTAATAGGGGTTGAACTGTATTAGCTTGCACAAAGCACAGCTCTTAATTTTATTTTCTTTGTATTCTGAAAAAAAAACTGATATTGCTTTGCCATTGACCCCCCATTTTCAAGGAAACTTGGCCAATGTAAGAAAAGAGCCATCTTTAGTCACTAATTTACAAAACATTACTGAAATACTCAAAACAAAGCAAGGCTATTTATCAAATCCCTCATGTTTAAGAGCACTACTGTTTTCGTGTTCACAAAATAGTGTTAACTATGCAACAGTATAACACACAAAAAGAACTAACCTGAGAAGAAGTCGGCCACGTTTTCTGCAGTTGCAGACCAAGGCAGTCCACGAGCACGGACAATGTATTGTTCCTCAGAGTCTGGGTTCATGCTGTCTGGGTTTTCCTGTCAATACAAGAGAGTTATTTTAAACATGTTTTTAACTAGAGTTTTATTTAGAATAAGGGTTTCAATTTTCACAAAATTCTAACGTTTTTTAATTAATTTTTCTTCAATTAGTGTCACCAATTAGTGTGTAAAATGCTAGAACGACTGACACTTAAATAAAGTTTACTACTACTACTATTACTACTTGTGTTTTAATAAAACTCTGCACTATAAATTTCTAACAAGCTGGCCATGAATGTATGGATTATGGCAACAATATCTCATGGTGCCAACAACTGCAACACTGACTATGAAACCCTCACGTTATATATGGACCCATCACTCATTTTATCCTCCCTTGCCATTGGAAATTCTAAAATGCTCTACTCCTATGCATGCAGAATTCCAAAATCTTTCCAACGATACCCAGATCAGAGTGATCAGCTAAGTGGAGCCTGATATATGCATGAAAATGCTCAGAAATGTGAGTGAAAAACTTGGAGCAAAATTTCCTGCAACTACACTTAGCTACTCCATGGTAAAAAGTGCTTGTCTCAATGATGCTTTCCCAGAAATTTTTGAAAGATAAGAATGGGAGAAAAATGAAAAACGAAAAATAATAAAAAACCAAAAAGCCTGAAGACGTAGGTCACTCTCTTGTCCAAAAACTCGAAATTTTGATTTCTGTGTATGCTCGGGCAACAATGTCATAAAACGCGGTGCTAAAAGAAAGAGACATGCAGTCATGTTGAAAATGCCCTTTTGAGTAGTGTTGCAGCCGCATTTAATTCTTTATTATTTTTTCTGTTTGTACATGCATTCTTCCCATGATCATCGCATTCTTAACATTTATCTCACTTTCAGGTTATCAATATTGTGTTAGGTTTTTTTGCATAATTTTGTTTTGCTTCAGTCTCCTTTTGTATGCATTTTTCTAGTCTATTTGTGCATTTTCATTGCGACACTACAGTCATCTTGTTTCATTTACCGCCTTCCACTTTCCTCTTTTGTGTTCCTAACCATCCTAGTCATACAACGTTTGTAAGTACCGTCAACCTTTGGCTTGTTAGTTGCTTCTTTTATTGTATTCCTTCGTAACTTGTAATTTATTTTGTTTGTAGCAACCACTCTCTTCTCATCATTTTCTTCACTTTCATCATTTATCACTGCACTCTATAGTTTGAATTGTACATATTCATGGCAACGATTAAAGCACATGTAGCATGTTGAACATTTGACTACATTAAGTAGGTTGGAGCTAATTTGGCCCATATCCAGGCTGAAAACCTCCAAAATGTCCAAAAAAGGCATTTTAGGCAAAAGCTCCGGGAGTCAATAGGTTAAACAGCGCATAAAAAGGCATGCTGTTCTTGTTGACATCAGGTCCTGCTGGTGACATGCACTAAAATATATTAGAAAACAGCCCTAAGAAAATACGTGCACTGATTGGTTATAAATCGTGCATCTATAACTCAATTGAAACACAGAACTAGCACGAAATGTAGATGGCACAAGCAAAGAGAATTTACGTTTAGAAAAAATGTTCTCCGTGTTTCTATCGAGTTATAGAAACACTCGTGAAAGTTTGGGAGACCTCGAAAAAGCTGTGGAAACACTCGCCTGTGGCTTGTGTTCCCACAGCATTTCTCGTTCTTCCAAACTTCCACTCGTGTTTCTATAACTCGATAGAAATACGGTGCATGTTTTCTATTTCTTAAATAGGGGTTAAATACTGTAACATTACACTTTCTGTCGCATATTGCAGCTTTAACGTGAGTAGGCTTATTAAACTGAAAACAAACTGCACAGATTTTCTTTTACGGATGACATTATCATTCTGACGTTGGGCGACGCTCAAAGATTACTTCAATAATCAATGCTCCATTTCTCTACGAAATTGCTTACCGAATATAAGCTTAAGTCAGTCCTCGAGTTAGACTTAAGACTTGGTTGTATAATTGTAGCTTCACTTTACGATCCCTCGTTTTGTTCACTCGATAGTTCGAAATCTCTCCCACTTTTCGTGCCGGGAAAATCGTTTAAAAGCCAATACAGAACGAAACAAAGATTGTCTAACCTTACCTCTGGGCTTTGGGAATCAAGACTTGTCATAATAGTAGTTGGATATGACAAGTAATGTAAAAAAAAGACAGCGACAAAACTGAAACCAACAGGCACTAGCTTTCAAAGATGGCGTAAAAACGATGCCACTGTCATCGAACCACGTGGTGTTATCGTGTGTGAGCTAAGCATGTCGGGATTTTATCGTTAAGGGCGGGGCCGGGGCGGAACGGGAACCCTCTTGAATGTCCCCAAAACTATTATCTGATGTTGACCGTGATCAGCTGTAGAGTTCGGGTCGCTTAACACGTGCGGACGATTTGCATCTTCGAGATCCACGTAAATCTTCTATGACTTCTGCTACATGAATCGTCCACCCGAACCGCTCGATCTACGCTTGCTGAGGTAAAACGCCTGAATTCCACGCGCAAATCATTTTCTTCCGGATACCAAATCAACTACTTCATAGTATTCACAGTGTGGAATAAATAGTTAAAGCATCGTTTGGCTCTTGAATCTCGAACAAAGGAGGAACACAATATGTCGTATGTGAAGTCAGGAGCTTCCGAGTTGTCCTTCGCCTGCGAACGCGGACATATTTCTTGCTGTCTCTTAGTTTCGCCAAAAATAATTGAACCAAGTGACACCCGGAAATATGTCTGCGTTCGCTGGCTAAGTAGGCTCGATTTCCGCCGCTTTCTCGAGTGTGGTCTACGTTCCTCCCCGAGAAGTGTTCGGGAAAGGAGCGCGGGCTCCTTTCCCGAACAGCGGCTGGTAATCGAGCCTGCTGGCTAAGTTGTCTCTTACCTTTGTATCAAAACGAGCCTTCGTGCGAAACCATTCATATGAAAATGCGTGCGCCTACAGGTTCATAGCCTGAAATGTCTGTCATCTCCCACCCTCAGCTTGATTCCCGGGTGAGGGACGCCGTCTCTCACCAGGAGATTAGGCTTTGGGCGGGACATGACAGACATTTCAGAAACAGGTTCATTTTCATGCAAATCAAACTCATTTCCATATGAAAGGTTCCGAGGAGACGTACCCACCCTAGGCTCGATTACCAGCCGCTGTTCGGGAAAAGAGCCCAAGCTCTTCCCCCGAACTCAGTCTCTTCTCGGGGAGGAACGCAGACCGGACTCGAGAAAGCGGCGGAAACGAGCCTACACGAGGACTCGTTTCGAAAGTTGAAACAGAGCCACAAGGTAACTCGAAAATGGCCTGGTGCACATTAACCCCACAACATAACTCCAAAAACCCTTTGAAAGTCTAACTGGCAGAATCTGTACTCATTTTGCATAAAGAATATCGTAGAATTCGAATAAACCCTTGGTTTAGAATTGTTATTAGAGGGGGGGGCAAGGGGGGGTCTTGTCACGAAGTCACGATAGTAAATTTTCGATTTCACGAATCACTAAGGTCACGGAAAAAATCTGATCACAATGCAGTGAAATTCAGCTACGAACTCAACTTAAGACATTCACAATTTATTTCTTATCTATTCACGATTCACAGCCAAGGACTTTTGCGATACACGCCCCACGGAATACACTTCAATCACGATTCATGGAACAGTTTTTTATCAAATCACGATCCACAGAGCACAAAAAAAACCGGATCACGGCGTCACGAAAATACCCTTGCCCCCTCTCTTATTAATAATTCCTTTGTGAATTTATTTTTTCTTGGGGGAAGGCGCGACGGCAGTCGGCGGATGTGGCAGGGACTATAATAAAGGCACCCTCGCCTGCTCCCCAGTGTGCACCTAATTTATGATATCTATTTTTTTCCCTACCAGTTCATGCTTGTAACTCGTTTCAATATTTTTAAACTCTTTTTATATAACTATTTCAACTACTAGACGTTAGTTTTTTTTGTTTTTTTTAACTCTATTTTTATAACTATTTTATACTATTAGACGTTTTATATTTTTAGAAATTGTATTTAGCAGGGCCCCTCTGGATACCAGCCACTGTGCTGAATGGGCCACCCTGCATAAATAAAGTTTTACCTACCTACCTACCTACCTACCTATTTGCAATATTTGTTTATTTATTTACATTGTCCCCAATTAGCACAACAGTGCTAAATACATTCGACACTTAAATTAAGTTATTATTATTTAATGGAGGTTTTAGACGAGAAATGAGGATCTTTTGTTATGTTTACTGAATCACCCATAAGTCTTGTGGCTTGACCTCGATCTCCGCTCTGAGAAACTCATGAGAGAGAGAGAGAGAGAGAGAGAGAGAGAGGAGGCCGAGAAATCAATCAGTGAATAAATTGTTTATTATATAATATTATCAAAACCTGTTGATTATATTGTAACACATTAGCAACAGAGATATATTGAAGTCAAAGCTAAGATTTCATAGAGTGCAAACGTTATGGTAAATCATATTATTTTATACGACAAAGCTACTTATACAAATAGAGGAAATAACAAATTTGTAAACAAGTTTGTAAACAGAATGCAGTTATGCTGTAAAAGCAGCAGCTTGCACGAACAGGCATCATTTTCTCAACCAAACTTTCACCATGACTAAGAATAGTGCATAGCTCGTTACAGTTTTCATTTGGAATTGCGGCCATGGAACGATCTGATCGGATACCTTCATTTGCGGTAGCCTGTGTCACAGTCGCCCTCCCCAAGGAGGGAAGCTGTACCCACATTTGTAATCACATAAATTTTTCACTTGAACCATTCTCTACAAATCTCACGCGAACAGACAAGCTAATTTACAAAAGTGCCACCATATTTTAAAAAAAGTGACGGTCGTGGTTGTTGTAAAAATTGGGAAATTCATTCAGTGGCCTCAATGCTGTTAACTTTGCTAAACTGGGGGGAATTTCCACTGTGTCACGAGGCCAGATCANACATTTATTGAAACAAAAACGCACAGCGTTACGAGAGTATAAACATTAGCTCGTTAGGAACCCCACCTCGCTGAATTTGTAACAGATTAAGCCCAGTTCAAAATAGGAATGATATGTGAGAAACCCAGCCAGTGGGCAAAGTTAAGGAAGGCTTGATTCCAACCTCATAGCCTTGAACTCTCGATCAAGCTGCTTCTTACAACTGTAGTTGTCTACTTTATTTACATACTTACATCGTGTGTAATCTGAACGTGAGGAGGAAGTTTCTGATTCTTGGTCATTAACTCTTTGAAAGCTCGTCTCAGATTTCCTATCTTTCGACGAATGTTCTGAGAAAAGCACAGTTCACGTTAGAATACAAAACACAACAAGAAATATTTGAAGCTGCATTTTCAACAGAGGTATAAATCACCAATCATTAAAGGAGAAAGAAATATCACTGCCAACATGATCAAGCCAGCGATAGACTTGCCACAAGTCGACACTTTCTTAATCCTTGACTTATTTATCTCCCTCGAGCGAAGCGAGAGCATAAATCTTCGAGCGCGAGCGGCGAAACTAACAGGCCAGGGAAGAATTATTGGAAAGGACTTTTAGAAAGTCTAACCAGCCACCGCATCATGCAGTGGCTGGCAAGGGCGCCTGGGGTGGGGGGTGTCAGGAAACATCGCACCAATCACTCGTGGGCTAGCAATAAACAGGCTTAGGACCTTAATTTTAGACTGAAATAAACTTCATTCAAGTGTAATTCGTCCCGTTCTCTTCCAGTCTTGACCATCCGAAACACTGGATTATTCTCACTGCTTTGATGTTTAATTTGACACCAATACAACACTTGACCATTCGCACGAGAAACCACGAGGGGTCCACGAGGTCCAACATGCGCGACTTCGCGCTAAACTTCAGAAATAACGACTAAACAAAAAATTACCTGCTTTTTCTCCTCAGCAAGTTTGACCATTCGATCGTGCTCTGCTTTCTGTTTCTCAAGTTCAATACTGTAGTGGTTTGGATCATCAATATCATCTATCTTCTTTACTATCTCTTCACCTTCCTCGCCGATTAATTTCTAAAAATAATCAGAAAAAAAAAACAGTGTTCTAAAGAGAAACAAGAAGTTTCCAACAAAAAAGAAGTTTTGATTTTGGTTAGACAATGTCATTTTCGTAAACTACAACACGAATTAAGTTTCTTTTACCATTTTACTATTCTTATCTTAGGCCCCGCCCGCACTTCGCCAGAGAAAATTTGAAAACGCAACAATAATCGGTCATTTTGGATTTGTACTTGAGGAAAACTCAGTCAAGGAAATCACATGATCATCGTGACGTTATCGCTGCCGAAAAGCTCCGTTTTCAAAATGTTTTCCGTTCACTTTAAAATGCAAATCCAGCGTTTTCAAATTCCTCCGGTTTGAAGAGCGTTTCCGGAAAGCTCCGTTTTCGTGACGGATTAGTGTGGACGGTAAGCGTAACCTTAGAAATAAAGATGCGCTTTTAAATTTCTCCGGCGTAGTGTGCACTAAACCCGGATTGTCGATCAAACATAGCAAAGAATAAATGATTGGATATTCATCTCAGCTTATCTCACCTTTGCTGACGGTATAGAGACCTTATGTGGCACATTGAGTCCTTTCACTGCCTTATCCATGAAGCGAAACACGAAGAAGTTGCCGTCCTGTCCAGCCGTGAACACATATTTGTCATCGAAGCTCGTCTTGATGTGTCGTATGCCGCCATGATGGTTGTCGTGCACATTTAGCGCCCAGAATGAGCTGAAGTGTTCAAAGTCGTTCGAGCCATCGAGAGGATGGATACGAATGACTCCGTTATCCATTCCAAGAAGAAGGAATTTTCCTGAGTGACTGAAACAGGAAAGGCGAAAAGCCTGAGTGTTAATTGACGACTGCACAGTATAAGAATTACAGTTTTGTTTCTGTCAGTGTACTAAATATAAGCCTGATATACCAATTGGCGCATCAATATATTTTAAATGTATTGTAACACGCATCCGTATCATCAGATTTCCTTTTAGAATCAACATAGTTACAAATTTCCTTATGACATTCAACAATATTTTATTTCAGAGAACAACACTCGTCAAATGATATGAACACGTCACAAAGTGAGTTTACCTACAACTAATGACACTAACAGTCTTCGCAAACTTGGAAAATGAGGATTTTCGCAAATTGCTTTGGAAAATTTACAAAACTCTTGTTGCAATAATATAGAATTTCGATGGGAAACGTTTTTCCAACATTTACATGTAGTCAAAGATTGTGTAGCCAGTTAGGAGGAGCGAGAAAAGCGGAAAGAGAAAAAATAGATGGGGGAGTACGAATAACAATTTTTTACAACCATCTACATGTGCTGGGCGTCGATAACCGTCGAATTCTGACACCTGACTTCCTTTACGGGCAAAATTGACCTGCATGTACATGTAATTAGAGACAAACCACGGATCCTTGTACTTTACAATGCAAGTCTGTTTCAGGCGTTCATTTAGTTGAGTAGCAGCGCTATAAACGGCAAGAGAAAAGGAAAGGAAAGGCCAAGAGGTATGGTTTTTCGCGCTGCTGCAACTAGTAGTACATCTAAATGTGCGCCACTCACATGTCTCTCTTGGAAAAGAAACAAAAGTGAAAAAGCGCAAAGGAGCATATGTCGTCTCAGCTAGCCCGGTCAACTCGCGGTTTTTCGTGGCCAAACTGCGCTTAAAGAACTTTCACTGACTCAGCTAAACCGCACTGTTAATAAGACAAAAACGCGGAATCATCTTACCTGAAGCACACAGATCTGATTGGCTTATCATCACTGTTATCCACAGGAATGGACCTCACAGGTTCATCTCGTGTATCTTCCTGTCCTTCAGCAGGAACAGGTTTCTTGCCGTCGTCAAATTCACACTCGTACATGTAACCGGCATCCCATCCGTCCTGAAACGAGACGATCATTTTAAAACTTACCGCTCAAAAGTGCTAGCTAGGAAATTAAACCTGCAGGAATATTTTGGCGCCTTATTAATTATCCTCATTCACAACGCGTATTTTGCGCGACTGCGCCAAGCTGTCAATTGATACACAGCAACGACCAAAACGAGAAATGCTTCGCGATCAAACACAGTCAAACATTGTTTGGTGATCAAACATTTTCCCGTTTGGACACTACTGTCAGGTGTTTGATAAAATTTGACCGACGTCAAATATTTGTTCAAACACTGTAAAACATTTTGTTCGTTCAAACATGTATGATACCGTTTGGCCACTCAGTAAAAAATCGACTTGTTTGGTCACCAAACAATGTTTGATCGTGTTTGACCACCAAACATTTCCCATTTGGACAGGGCTTTAGATTTTACAGCAAAAGTGTGACTTTTCATTTTACAGCACAAGGTAGTAACAACTCACCATTGAAACCCAGAATTTATCCGGTTTGCCGTAATAAAATCCTTTGATAATTTCGCCCGGCTCTCGATGTTGTTCCTCTTCTGTTTGCTCGCCTTCCTTCTGTTCTTCATCCTCTTCACCTTCCTTTTTTCCTTCTTCTTGTTCCTGTTCTTCTTCGTCTTCTAAACCTCGCGCTCTCCTACGTGCTCGTTCTTCTTCTTTCTTTTTCCGTTTCTCTTCTTCTTCTTTGGCTTTTTGTGCTTCTTCTTCGGCTTTCTGTGTAACGTTAAACATATCAACGATAGCAAGTAAACTCACAAACTGAACTCACAACTGCATAGACGACATCTTTCGACCTGGCCTACGTTGTCAGAATAAGGCCAGGAGTATCAAGAAGTCATTCCGTGAGAGATAAATTGACTGTTTTGAACGTTTACATCTTTCGAATATCAAAAGCGGTAACGGCCCGATTCTACCGATCGATTACACTAAAAGCGTTTGATTTATCCCGCAAAATTGGTAAATTGGGAAACTTGCACTTCATCCATTTGAGGTTAGTGATTATCCTTTATTTGTCATTTCTTCCGCCAATTACCGGAAAAATTGCCAGCTAGCTAAAAATGCTCTCAGAAATGGACTGAGGTGTTTATCTTTGCTTTAGAAAGGAACCACGGGCTCTACAAATATTGCAAACAAAATTTAAAAGTAGCTCACCCTCAATTTATCTTTGACACTCGTGAAGTGATACTCTCTGGTCTTCAGATTGGTCAGGGGGAGGTGATAAGTCTTACTTGTGTCATATTTATCAGAAGCAGGAGCTTCGACATGAAGCACGGTGCCGTCTTTACAGCTGATGAGTACACTCTTTGGAGACTGGTGACAAATAAATAAAACATCACAGTAGAAATCACGTGTTGTGCGGCAATTAGAAGCAAAGTTAAAGAAAAAATGACTGAATAACTTAGTCTGACGTCCAGTAACTAAGTCCTATTTAACAATTCACACATAAAGATCAAATTCAATATTAAAGGAGCTCAGTCAAGGCGTGTTGGCCATGTACAAAATTACCTCTACCTAGAAGGAAAGCTGAAAATAGTAGTTTACAAAGATAGAAAACAGCAGGGAGATAATAATAAACCATAAACAAGGATGGCTAAGGATGTAGAAGATTAAAACGGATTACAAACGACAAAATTTAGAAACTGTGACGAAGCTCCTCTATATACTATTTACCTTTCTGTCCTTCGACCACTCTATAGACACAACTGGAGAAGCAGTTTCGATGAAACCAATTGGTTTGTATGTGTCTCCAACAGAGAAGAAAAATACTGTACAGTCATCACTCTGGTGAGAAAGAAAAAAAGAAACCTTGTTCACCTTAGAAGTAAAAAAAAAATTAAGAATAATAAGGTTTGGCTCATTTGAAATTTGGTCAATCTTTCGAAAAATCTATACTTAAAAGGCCTCTCAGAATTAAACACAGTATTTATCCTGGAATTTAAGGTAGGTAGAGGACAAATAGTACCAGTCAGAATCACCTTAACAAGCTAACACCCTCCCATCTCCCCCTCACACAACTACATTGCGCACTATATAAAAAACACCATCCAGCTTCCAAATTTATGCAAGACAAAGACAAAATTGCGTCTCAAATCTAGTCAAAAGGCAATTTTGTTCTGACTTCAGCAACTTCGTAGTAGAAACTTTGGCAGCTTTCATGTTACGTGTAAGCATCAGACACGAACTTTTAATCTTCTCAGGTGCCTCAAAAACAGATCTAGTCACTTACCCCAGTGGCGAGAATCTCTCCTTGATTGTCAATGGTTATTGCAGTGACCGGCTTTGTGTGAGGTTTAAAGACTTGCTCCAGATTCAACTCATACTTTAGCTTGGATTTCTTGCTCCTTAGTTGAGATGGGTCCACCTTGTTTAGCGCCAGTAAACGAACGACACCATCAGCAAAACCAGTGAGAAGTTTGGTACCCTTAGAATCCACCTATGAGAGTTAAATGAGTGAAGTAAGTAAACAAGAAAGCTGCAAAAGAAGACTGTGAGAATTCTCCCTCTTATCCAGCTACTTTTTTTCCAAGTGCAAATAATATTAGAAGGCATACATATCTACAAATCTGCAGTAGAAAAATTTAATTTGCAACAAAATGATAAATTATGAGTTCTTACCATCTTAAAATTGATAAGTCCTGACAAACTAATGGTAAGCGTGAGCAGGTTACTAGGTTCCAGTTATAAGTAGCTGTAAGTACTTATCATCACACTTACAGGGAACTCAGCAAGAAACACAAAGTACCAGACTGTTTCACATAATAAATTACAGATACATGTCCCCGACTTTTCCCCAAAATTTTACAATTGGCATAACACAATTCACTTGCTCATAATCACTCCATATATGACTCCAGTGTAACTAATTTTGTCGTTTTGACTGCTGAGATCAGAGTCTCACTGTGTTTACAGATGCTATCATCAAACTTACCTCTTTAGGAACCCAAAGCAAGCTTGAACCTCCTGAGTTGTACTTAGCTTGGCACATGGGTGTCTTGGAAAGGTAGTCATAGACTCGAACTGTATCTGTAAAAAATATAAATTTAACCACTTATAGTCAATCCTGCCACAAAAGGACCTACAGGGATTTAGTCTACATTTGAGTGTTTTCCTGTCAGAAGTAACCCCTAATTGGAGTAATATATCATGTCTTGCTAACCCTTTAAGACAACCTTACCAGAGGTTAAAAAATGTGGTATTTGTGTGTGACTTGAAGAGTCAGCCAATGTTTACTTGTAAGGATGAGTCCCTTTGGATAGGTGTATACACAGCATACCACTGCATGGCAAGGGTAGCGTTCCCAGAGACGGGTGTCCGTGTATGGGAAATGTTCTGTATGTTCTGTCTAGTCATAATATTCTGTTCAGGAATCCTCCTTGCTTGGTAGATTCCCATTATGCAAGTGAAATATTTCCAGATCATAAATTCACTTACGGTCCACTCCTGTTGTGGCCACAAAAGGAGCAACTGGGGAAGTGTCAAGGCCTGTGATTGGTCCAGCATGGTAAGAGTGCATCCTCTCTGGTGCATGACTCTGTTACAAAAAAAATGCCACAGTATTAAATGTAGGAGTCAATGATGAATTGTCCTTAACATTTACCTTTTTTCTTCTTTAGTATCACAGAATTCATGTGACTAAAAACAAGACAGGTGAGAGGACAAGGTTGTGCATCTTACCTTGTGCATCTACAGAGACAAGTGACTAGAAAAAAAGATGTGTACATGGTACAATACAACTAAAGAACATTCATAATTTGAATGCTTACCGTATGGGTAAATGATAGATCCAACTTCCATATACCACCAGAAGCATCCTGAAATAGTTTTAAAAAACACAACCTTTTAAAACAATTCCTCGCATTATTTTTCAGTTAATAATAAAACAGAAACAGAAATTTGACATGAGCAAAATGGATTTTTTTTTCCTTAACCTGAGAATATTTCTTCTCATAAAAGATTTCCATGCATTTCTTTCAGTGTCTTTCGATTCCAGACCACTGAGAAACTAGAGTAAAAATAAAAGATTATATTTACCTGGGCATACCAGATTGGAGCTTCAGTATTTACAGCTTTAACCATTGACATGAGTTTAACATCAGTGCCAACCTGTGAGAAGTATTAAATAAGTAAATATTGAGCAACATGACTTACTCTAAACCATCCAAAACATTTGATAAAACTGGAATTACTTAATATAATAAAAATTTCTAATTCTGAGATGAAGCCTAGAGAGGGATGACCTGAAGCTCACTCAGGGATTACTGCAAGTGGGTCAAGGCTTGCACAGGAGGTCCAAGCCAATGACTGAACTCAATCAGCTACAAAGTTCCAACTTTGCCTCTAAGCAAAAAACTGCCTTATAATTTATTGTATTTTCAGTTGATGACCTGAAATCCTTTCAGTACCAGTAATATTAAAATAAAAGCTCTGGAAATGTTGTTAATAAGTACTTCATCTTCTTGTATCATTTTCCTACCTTTAACTCATACATTGGATCCATCTCAAACAGCTGTCCTTCCTCTGTAGTGTCAGCATTATCAATACTTTCAAAGTCCCAAACTTTCACAAAACCATCAACACCAATAGTCATAAGCTCTCCTTCATCCATGAAGAACTGTTCTATCATTCCGACATGACAAGGTTTTCTGCCTTTCTTGGAAATCTCCACTTTAATTAGGCCGCCGTCCCAGAGCAGCATGTTTCCCCATTCAGATCCTGACAGCACCTTACCATCAGGAAGCTCAACAAAACCTGTATGTTAAAATCATTTCAGCAAAAAATAATTAGTTCACAACTTACATGAACTGTTGTGTCCTGTTGTGTCCTGTTGTGTTGTCACAGAAGGGAAACACCTGTCAAATGACTCATTCTCAACTTGAAGTTGATAAACTACATGAAAGGTAAATTCACTGTCCTTTCACTGATACCCGACCTTTTTTGGTGTTGACACTAGCCTTCATTGCGGCATTTTTGCATCAACAAAGACTGACATACTACTTGCTACACAACAACCTTCCATAAATATTCCTGATGTGCGCAGTTTTCTGAATTTCACAATGAACAATGTATATGCAATACAGCCATTTCTTTTCTATCAGTAAAACAACACTGACCTTCTATATCTGACAGCTCTTTGGCACCAAACTTTCCAATTTGTCCTTGCAACTTTAATCCAGTGAATGTGTTTGCCATTGACCAAAATCTGAGTAAGGTTTACAAGCATTACCACCAATTGAAATTAATTAATATTTGACACCATTAGAGAGATCAAGCATGATGTTACATCAAATGGCAAACAGCAAAAAAGAAACTTATTTTTTATTTATTTTTTATTTCTTTTATTTTTTAAATTTTTTTGTGAATTTACATGTAAGGTAATTTTTTTTTTTTCACAATGACCGACTGTTATTTCCAGCCTGGATTTAGTTAAGGATTACAAGAAAAGAATAAAAAATCAGAGGTAATCTTTGCTGTCTGCCGTAAACATCATGTTTAAACTCTCTATTGTTGCAATCCCTCAACCTCGGAATTATGCTGGACAGGTACTTGACTTCTCTGAAATCAATTTCCAGCTTTCTGGTATTTGTAACCTTTTTTGAGATAAATGTAGGGGGTGGATTAACGATGGGATTAAACAGATGTTCCCTCATTTTATCAAACTCTGCACAAATTGTTTTGGAGGTACCTGCTTGTGGAATTTTCCCAACTGAAAGTGTCTATCAATGGAGACAGCCTGATGCACTAGTGATCTCTATTACAGTAACTAGAGATGCCCACTTGAAGGGGATTTCCTTTGTTTTATTCATAAAGTTAACATACTTAGAAAATAGCACAAAGAAAATACACAGCTGATTGGTTCAAAATCATGTTCCTATCACTCAATAGAAGCACAGAGTTAGCATGAGCTGTTGACGTAATGATGGAAGCATTTCTCATTCTTCCGAAATTCCACTCATGTTTCTATTAAATAATTAGATTATTCGCTCTCGATTTCTATCACGCATAGAAATCAAGAGCGAACAATCTCACTGTTTTAGTATAAATCTATTAGTCATTCAAAACTTTATCTAAATCCTCTTCACATGCAGACACTTTCCAAACAAGAAGAAGCAGCCGTCATTTTGTTAACAAGGGCACACTGCTACGCTACTCACTATCTATCACTGAATAGAAATTGAGTAGTGTAGCCAATCAGAGAACGGCATTTGTGATAGAACGCTAGTAGATTTATACTAAAACTCGATACAGAAACATGGTACATGTTTTTTATTTCTTAATTTAATGTAAGACAGATGTATACATGTAGTCTACATACCTGATATGTCCGGAGCCACTTGTACACAAATGGCCTTCATCCTCAGGAGAAAATGCCACTTTGTAAACATCCTGCGAGAATGCTTTGGACCTTAGGATGACCTGTTCATTTTTCCAGTCCCACACAGTGAGCATGTAATCTGGTGCACTGCCGACAGACGCCAGCTTGTCTCCTTTGGGCGAGAAGTCCAAATGAGCATAAGCTTCTTCTGTACCATCACGGAGAATTCGGTGCAGCTTGAGTGAGGGGTACTCAAAGATATTTATGTTGGGTTTCTCTCCTTTCTCTGCTACAGCAAAATATTTTTGACTGGGATGGATCTGTTGGAGAAAAAGGAATAAGCAATTTGATTCCTTACTCATACACATGGTGGAAAAGTTGTTTAGAAGCGTTGAACCAGTTGTACATCCCTTCTCTTCATTTCCTTAAACTGAGAGAACAATTTGTTCTGCTGGGGTCATGAAGGGTCTAATATAGATGGTCTTTCAGAAAAATATGCAACTTCCAGATTTGCAGTCAAATTTCACGGGTCTGGTAATATTTCAATTTTTTGATGATGCCTTTGATTCCCAGAGTCCCAACACAAGTCTTAGATTTAGTATTCGCCAAATCTTAATGACGGTGATTGCTTATTTGATTTAAGAATTAACAAACTCACTGCCACAGCTCCAATTCCACCACCTCCTGTTGTCCTGATGTGCGTCTGCTCCTGCGTTTTCAGATTGAGAATTTCTACAGTGTTTCCAGCTGAGAACAGAACAGAATTCTCATCCAAGACATGGAGGTTTGATCTCTTGGTACACTCATAACCAAATGAATGGCTTGTAAAGAAAGAGAGGAGTTAAGGAATGTATCCAGTATAAATAGGCCATTTACAGTTGTGTGCTTACTTACCTGGCCTGTAAATGCAGGCAAGGCTGGAGGTGACCATACTTAGATACAAACCTCTCTGCTTTTTTTCATTTAAACATGAAGTAGTTAGCTTTAGAATAACTTGATTTACGCAACAAAAGCAGTGAGGTCTGTATCAAAACAAGGTCACCTCCAGCCTCACTGCCATTCAAAGGCTGGGTCACTGAGCAGACAACTGTAAAATGGTCTATTAGCACACAGTCTAATAGTATGGAAATGAAGTGGTGGCATCAGTGATTTCAATTGCAAACTACTACTGCATAAACATGATATATATTTCCTGTGATTGTTGAAAGGATACTGAAATGATAATAATTCTGGTGGTATGCCCTCTGTTGAAAAAGCCTTTGAGACAAGGTCATCAAAATCATAATAGAAATCATCAGGAAGAATTCTTTCTGGCTCTTCTTCAACTTCTCCTGAGACAAAAACAAATAAAAAGAAAATTTTTAGTTTTCACTACTTGCTTACTGTGGGTAAAAGGACAAAGTAAAGTCTGTACATACGAGCCAAATGGCCCATCAGGCTGGTGCTTATCTCCAGTTTCAGTAGCATAGAGTGACTAGGAGTATTTCTACTCTCCCCTGGATGGGATGCTGGTCCATCTCAGAGTTATCCCAGCATCAAATTCGCTGGTACCCATTCATACACATGGGTGGAGAGAAGCACTGTGAGAAGTAAAGTGTCTTGCCCAGTAACACAACACAATGACCCTGGCCAGGACTTGAACCTAGACTGTTCAATCTGGAGACAAGCGCACTGGCCACGAGGCCACCATGCCTCCCTTGCTTATTGTGGACTTAGGGTCAAAGCTACATGAAGTGTGTGAGGTAAACTTTGACTCTTGTTACACATAGCCTGAAAGGAATATGACCAGTAGTTGAGCCAAGGAAAGGACTCCCCTTGAGTATTACAAGTCATAACGATCAGGGAACTCTTCAGAAATTTTGAAAAGAAACCCTAAATGGTACCAGAATCTTGTTTTGTTGATGTGGCTCAAATCATTTGCACCCCTAGGGGGTTATGAAATTCTAAAGTAAATTAAAAAGTATTTGACACCAACAATTTTTCAGCTCAAACCCTAAAAGACATCACTATAACTCTTATGGCAGTTCATTTAGATTTTTACATCCTAAGCAGTACCAATTAACAAATTTACTCCTAAAAAGGTACAATGACCATCCTATTGCCATCACATGAAAGTCCCACCAGGCAGTTGAGACTGGTTAATCAATGAGAAAACAATCTTAATGTAAGCATGTACATATAATTTGTGCAATTACATTTTTCTATGAAAGAATCAAATAGTGATTTGTGTCCCATAACTCAGTGCTGTCACATGATGCAACTCATGATATTGTTAATGGATGGGAGAGTACAACTATTTATAAACTACATGCTCACACCTAATGAGAAAACATTCCTAATTGATGTGAGGATGTAATTTATGCAATTGTACTTAAATTTCATGAAAGAATCAAATGGTGGCTTGTATTCCATCACTCACTGCTGTCACATGATGTAGTTAATGATATCACTAATGGATGGGAGTGTAGTACATGGCAGGTATAGGTGACCCCACCTCCCTACCCTCACCCCTACCAAGCACTTTTCAAAGACTACCCTAGGTAACAAATTAGCTTGTACCCTCTCTGAGTGGAGAACATAACTGTGACAGTAGAGTCTTGCTCAAGAACATAGCTAAACATAACCCTGCCCAGAATTCAATCCATATATTCTGAAGTCCAACATCCCAACCATTTCAGCACCGTAGCCTAACTTGCCTTACAAGTGAAAAAACTCAAAAAATTTACATTGTTTGTTAAGTAATGATTAACATTTTTGCAATTTAGCAAAATTTCATGAAACAGTGAGTTTTTCACAGTTTCACTCTCTACTATTTTGATATCCTAATTCTTATTACATACATTATTACCTGATTCAGTTTGCTTTGCTGTAACTGCTTGTGCCTCGTCACCAGCCATTCCTGTTTCATCAGCTTCTTCATCGTTGTCATCCTCCATGCTTTCTTCCCGTTCTGTACCCTCCTTCTTTGCCTTTTTCTTCTTTTTCTTTTTCTCACTGCCATCTGATATCTTTTCCGCAGTCTCATCTACTGCAGCATCATCAATTCTGCCTTTCTCTGCAGTTTGTTTATCGGAGGATTTTTCTTCACCATCTTGACCACCATCTCCATGATCTGCTTGTGTTTCTGGTTTATCACCTTCAGCAGCTCCAGAACCTGATTTGGATGCAGTACCATCTTGTTCTTTCCCTTCTACACTAGATTCTGTAACTGATCCATCTTTGTCACCAGTTTTAACTGCCACTGAGGTTTCCTCACCCTCAGCAGTTTTACCCTCTTTAGAACCATCTTTTCCTTGTAATGCCTCCGATGCACCTTTGTGTTCACTAGTCTTTGCATCATCTGCTCCTTGCTGATCAGAACTGCTTGCGGTTTGGTTCTCACCTTTGGTTTCTTCGGACTGTTTGTCTTCCTTGGAATCTTTACCAGCTTCTGCTGCTTCAGAATCCTGTTTATTGTTGGAAAGAGAATCAGAACTTTGTTTAGAATCAATGCCTTGATCTTTAGATTCTGCTCCTTCATTCATCGGAGGTGATACATCATCGCTTATTTTATCATCACCTCCAGTTTCTTTTGATTCAGATTTACTATCAC